CCATTTGGCTTATGTCATTGGTTGCCTACAGCAGGGCTTGAGGTTATTAAAACTATTCAGTGTGGTCTGATATTATTAGACCAAGAGTCTCTCCATCATTGACCGCTACATATAGGGTTGGCAAACTGCTTGTGAGAAACTCCAAGGGCCTGAAAGCTTCTCGAGGGTTCTTCTCTGCTACTACTATGTATGCCCATCCATTCCATTTTATACTCAGTTGAAACTATCTTGGCCCTGTGGATTTCAGGTCTCTGTCTCTGACTCCCCAACACATTTCTACAACCACATCAGTATCCTGTATCCTAATCCTTACTAGTAAACAGCACACTTCTTTTTTCATCAATGGCAGTTTTATTCCTGTAACCAACCCATTCGTTCAGCAAATGCTCACCCCATGGCTAGTACAAGAGGGCACCATTCATGACCCTGTGAATAAAGCGTTGAACAAGGCAGAAGGACTTTTTCAGACATTTAGTATTTGAAGTTCTTCTTGATTACACCCTCTTTTTCCTTTGAAATTCCTCAGATTTTTGCTTCATGGTTATGTCACCGTCCATGCATCCATATGTGACATCTACCTCTGACTTGCTGCTGTCTCACCACAATTAGTTACTCACAGGGCCCTGTGCTTTTCTATTCTACAAACTCCACAAATGCACTCTTGTCTCCCTGGCCATACTCAGCGCTCTGGACTGGGACCTCTGTCTCTGCTCACTGGGGCTGATGTGATCTCCGTCTCTGCTCATTGGGACTCATGTGGTCCCCTGCAGCTTCCAAAGTGCATACTCGGACTCTGCTCTTGACTTCCACAAATCTGGTTCCCATGAATCAGTCATTCACTGTTTATTTAAAAACACATCTAGTCTGATCCATTCCCTTCTTATGGCCTTTGAAAAGCACAAACTACTTGAGATGCACATACCATGTTTTAGGTTCCACCTGTGCCTTACATCTCTTGTTTCATCCTTCTATGTAGTTCTTGTCATATTTTACTCAGGTTATCTGCATATATGCTCCTAACTCAAATGAGAGGGTTTTGCCTTTTGATTTTATATGGTGCTGAGATTCAAATTCAGGGCTTCCCATGTACCACACAGGTGTTCTTCCACCAAACCACATCCTAGCCCAGAGTTCCTTGTGGTTATCTCTGTACCTAGCACAGTACCTGGCCTCCATTATCCCTTTAACAAATTTTGGACCAAACTAGGTATCTGTTATTATCTCACATGTATATGCATCTTTAATTAGAAGTTTTCATGGGTGTGTCTTACAAATTTGGGATCTTACTTACAAATGTTCTTAATTTCTTCTGAGAAGATTGTAGAATTTGGGGCATGAGGGCAATAAAGATTAACTGGGGTAAATGATCACACACACAATGAAATTCATTATTGTGTGTAAATAATACACGGTGATAATAATAATAATAACAAAGATAGCGATGGCCATATAATTGTCCTGACTAATGCAATGGAAAGAATGGGATGCTGTTTTGTGTGACTCAGTAGGTAAAGAGCTGGCTGTGCAAGCCCGATTGCCTGAGTTCAACCCCCGACTTTACATAAAAGAGTCACACATGGTGGCACATATCTGTAATTTCAGCACTCCCCAAGGAGATGGGAGGCATAGACAGGAGGAATTCCGAGACTCCCAGGGCAGCTATCCTGGGATACTCAGGACAACGGCAGAAGCAGGAGATTGCCTGCCTCAGCAAGGCAGAAGATGAGAACAGACTCCCAAAGGTTGTTCTCTGCCCCCACCTTCTACCCACACACAAACACTGGGGCATGTGTCCACTTTCATTCATACATACACTTATAAAAATATATTAACAGATGTGCATTTATTAGCTGGACCTGGTGGCATGCACATGCCATCGCCAGCTACTCTAGGCTGAGTGAGGCAGGCACTTCAGTAGAGCTCCTGAGTTGGGAACCAGCATGAATATCAAAGTAAGATACTTTCTCAACAACAAAGTGTGTTATTTCCTGAAGCAAGCCCTCCATTGCCCTGTGGGAGGCACTGCTACTGTGTTCTTCTGCCATGGGACAAGTGTAGGAGAAGAAGGGACCTCCATCAGGCCAGGTCCCTGAGAGCCTGTGTGAACAGAGCTCTGCTTCTGTATGGTAGCAGTATCACATGGATGAGAAACAAGGTATTAATTAAGACACTAGGGAGACACGGTATTGCTTATTGTGGCCAGATACGGCTGTCTCATCCCACATCTTAAAGAGGACCCAGACCATTTCCTTTTATACCTTTTTATTTCATATTTAAAACAGACTAGAACGTAAATATTTTAATGTTGACTTCTGAGTTCTTAATTCAAACTGCTCCATGTCAAATAATCCTCTCCTGTTTCTTCTCTTGGTCCTAAGCTACATTTCATTCTAGCATAACCCTAACACTTAAACATTAACATTTCTAACTAGTATAGACTCTGGTGATGACACGGGTTTAGCATTTTGTAAAGAACAGAATGTCACTTTCTCAAATGCTCGGCTGCAGCCTGTGATCTTTGGGGACTGACGGAAAAGCAACTCTAGCTCATGGCCAGCAGCTGAGCAGCCGGCAAAGCTAGGGGCTGTGACAAATGAGGAGCCTGGCAGCTGTATGTGCTGTAGGGCAAGTCTCCCTGCACCTTGTGTCCCAGCAGATGGCAAAATATCACGATAATAAATGTGATGAGAGTGTCTCCCAACTTGCCTTTTACAAAAAAATCCTACTTCTAAGCCTGTAAGTCTGTGAACAGAAAGGAAAAAGAATCCTCTGTCAAAGATGCTTTTTAAACCCCACTATAGAGCTGTGGCATATTTAGAAAAGAAAGGGTTCCTAAACAGAGCCCATTCCTTGGAAGTAAAATGGCCTGAAGTACATTCATTCTATGCAGTTTTTACTTGAAAGGTGTATATTTTTTAGCCTCATGTAAATGTGCTGCACAGTGCCCAAGATTGCTTTATGCACACCAGGACAAAGCTAGCTCCTGCATGCCTAGTTTGAGTTAGAAACAAAGAGCCAACAGCCTTCTTACTATTTTCTTCCACCTATTAGCTGTTCTAATACAATGCTTGCACCTGCTTCTGACAGGTTCCTTTTCTTAGAAATAAGTAGGTATACCTAATCATGACCTATCTGTTTAATGCCTGCATTTGCAGTCAGGCATAGAGACATGGTTTCAGTGGTTACATGCTCTCATAACTCAGCTGTTTATTTTAGCATGGGTTGACTTTCAACCCAAATTTTTCATATTTTGTAAGTGTCAAGTGTTTGATTTGGAGGGTATAGCTACATTTAATATAATGACAATATAATTTCTCAGAGATGCTTTTTGAAAGACAACCATCTTGTAGGCTGCACATAATATTTTGTAAAATAAAATAAGTCCAAAGAAAAAATTCTGAGTTAGCTAGGAATGCTGGTGTGTGCCTACAATTCTAGTGTTCAGAGGGAAGCTGCAGCAGGGTCGTGGACTCAAGGCAAACATCGACTACACATCAAGGCACAGTACAACCCCACCTCAAGAAATCAAGGGATGTAGATAAAGCCATGGTAGAGCACTTGCCCAAGAATGCCCAAGACCTTGGTTCAATAACCAGCACAGCTAAAACAGTCCAATGCTTTCTTTCAGCCTAAACAGAGTATGTAAAGACCATAAGAAAGAGATATCTAGTATTAAAACATAAATACATAAAAAGCAAGCAAAGAGAGCTGTGTCACATCAGGAATGAAATGATCTGTCCTATGTCATTAGAACTAAATCTACAAGGGAGGTAGCATCTTTTGTTTGGCTCAGCCAGCCACTAGGACATGTGCTGATGTGTACATTTTAAAATGGATCAAATGGATACCAAGAAGAAATAAAAGAAAAATATTGGTAAATTGAAATACATAATAATGAATTTAATGATAAAATCCCCACAAAAAATTTGAAGAATATCAGTGAAATCTTACTTTGCCACAGACAGATCTTTTGCAAACCAAGTAGGAATACATATACCTAAATTCTCCTCTCCGTGAAGCTGAAGTCACTGAGCAGGAAGCCCATGGGAAGAAAAGGATAAATTTTCCATTAAAATGTTTGACTCATTCTATAGGCAAATGTTTAAAAGTCGCTAATTCTACTTGAGAAGGTACATGTACTGGGGTGTCTCTGACTGTACACTTCTGGTGCAGATGAATACTACACCAGTACCTTTTGAAAAGAATATTTTATCTCCTACGTCAAGACTCTTATGCATATATCCCCACGAGATGGTTAATCAACTGTCAGTATGACAGAACTTAGCATCTCCTAGGAGACAAAACTCTGTGTGTGCCTGTGATGGTTTAACTCCAGAGAACTTTTGACTGATAGGAAAGCCCACACTGCATGTGGATGGCACCATTCAGCCCCAGACTGAATCTGAGGAGAAATACATGACTTGAGACTCAAGAGAGACCCCTGTGCCTCTTCTACTACATGAGAACATGCCCAGAAGGCTATCAGTCAGAAAGTGCCACCTGTTCAGACACCAAGTCTATGAGTCCCTCTGTCTTGGACTTCCAGCCTCCTGAAATATGAGAAATAAATATGCTGTTCATAAGCTAACCAGACTCAGGAAGCTTCTTAAAACAGCTTGAATGGATTAGGACAACTCATCAATGTACATCCTTTAAATCACCAATTCAAACTCTGTGAACTTACTCTCAGCCAACAACCTACACAGTATCCTTTGTTTTTTTAAGATTTATTTTATGTATATGGTGTTCTATCTGCATATACACCTGTACACTAGAAGAGAGCACCAGATACCATTATAGATGAGTACAAGCTACCATGTTGTTGCTGGGAATTGAACTCAGGACCTCTGGAAGAGAAGCCAGTGCTCTTAACCACTGAGCCATCTCTCCAGTCCCCCAAAGTATCCTTTAATACACATACTGGAAAGGATCCAGAACTATCTAGGAGTAAAATCTGAAATATTATCAATTTGTTAATTGCTCATCTGTACTAGACAATATTTATTTCTACAACACATGCTTTATTTTATAATAATTTGCTTCTTTCCCAGAAAAAAGAAAGCACCCTCAAAACATAGAAATATAGACAAGGACTTAGGGATTTCCTATCCAGAGTTACTTGCAAGTCAAATTTATTCCAGTTGGTTCATCAAGGCTGGTTAAATATGAAAAACATAATAGTAGGCTCCCTCAGGCAGTGGTTCATGTTTCTTTCTTAGTAACTTCCATCTACATACTTTAAGAAATTCTTAAGGAAAGATACTTATAGTCCATACATATTTATAATCCCAGCCATCATGTTGTAATTTTCCATACCTGTACTTAAAAAAAAAGTGGAACCAGACACAAGAATAAAATCTGTTGGAGAGTATGACAAATGTCATATATGAAGGAGGTGATTGGGCCAAACTTCCCCAAGAGCCTTCAAAAGAAGAAAGCATCCTTTCACCTATCCCTGGGTCCATTGTGACAGTCACCACAGTGGGGAATACCATTCCGGAAGACACACACCAAAACCTATCTATGAGGGAGCCAGGATGGCAGGTGAAGGGCTAAAGTGGCTTCTTGCCATGGCAGTAAAATGTCTGCTACCTCGGTATATTTACAATTAGTTTGGCAGTACTTCCAACACAGGCTGAGGGATTCAGTTTTCTTCATATATGATAATGACAAGGGTTTAGAGTGAACCAAACATTTCATATTAGTGTCAGCAGCATGCAAGCAACATCTGTTGGCAGAGAACAGGAAAACAACAATACCTGCATTTTTTTATTCTAGAGAAATTACCAGAACACCATGTGTTCTTAGCCACCTTTACCCCACCCAATATGGAGCTCTCTGCATGGCACCATTGCCCGAGTTATGCATCATGGCCCAAGATTTCAAATCCCAGTGTTTCCCTGGATATAGGGATTTGTAAAATTAAACTTAACAGAGAATTTGGTAAAATGCTACAGAGTATTATTGATTGCTCAGCTACCCAAAACTATCATTAATCTATCTGTCTATCATTCATCTATTCTCTTTCTACAAATCTATCATCTCTATCATCTACTTATCTATCTATATCTATACATATACACACATACATATATACATAGATATAGATAAATTCATTCCTCCAAACTTTATTCTATGAAACACTAAGTACAATGCATCCCAGAGGATGGGAAGGTAGCTGTGGGACTGAACTACACAGTATAGAGATCGATCAATATTCTTTTACTCTAAGAATGATGCGCTTATTCAAGGTCACAGAGTTTGAGCAGGAAAGCCTAATAAAGTAGGTTCCTCAGAACACAGAAAAGATAAGTTTTCCTCATACCTATAAGTCAGATAAGGGGCCATAGCTGTGTCTAGTTAATTTTTATGTAAACATTGGTTTTCCAATAAACAATTTTTTTCCACTTTGAACATCAGGGGAACAACACTAGTAAATGTATAAAGACCAAAGGAAGATCCAATAGTGACTGCTCACTGTGTTTGATCTATATGGATTGTAAAAGTGAATGTTGTAATCAGACTCTTTGAGAACGTTGCATTTAAAAAATGACCCATTTATACAGAAGCAGCTTGGAATGTATTTATGAATTTGTCTATAATAGTGTAAGAGATCTCCTTTTGCTCACATTAGTACCCTAGATTAAGAAAGTAGCAATTTAAAAAGACCCCAAAAGATCTGCAAACCTGCTGTAAGAATTAGCAAAGAAAAAGAGTAAATTAGGAGACACAAATCTATAGCATCCACAGCTCTAACTACCCTGAATGTCACGTGATTCCCTTTCACTATTTTACTAACATTGTTCTAATTATCCTTCTAATAAGAGGCAGAACTAATTAGGAAAAATAAGGTAACATTATGCTGTTGGGAGAGATTAAACATGAGTCAGTAATGAGCCTCTAAATCCACACATAACTAATGACAGAGGGAAACTGGCCACCCACAACTGCTCATCTGAGTGGGTGGGAAGTTGAAGTTGAGGTATGAAGACTGAAGCCAAACAAAATTGTATTGCATGAAGAAAAAGCAACTTGTGAGGGTTTTCAAGGTCAGCTGATGAAGCCCATATGGAAGTGACTGCTTCTTATATACCCTGAAATAAAAAGAAAACGTAAATTACCACAAACAGCAAAATAAAACTCAGAGCCTACGCAATCCAAACTGGAGTTCCCACAAACTATACTCAATGTATCAGGCTAAGGTAACCTTCTTTGGTTTTTTATGACTGAAGTCCTGGTACAATGAGTTTAATTTTTAAGTCATGGTGCATTTAATTTGCTACATGTTCCTTGCTGAGAATGTCATGTCTTATCCAATGACATCTTAGTGACTGTGCTGTTACACACAGGCCAACGCGGATCACAATATTAGAGTCTATAAATGCTGGCACCTCCACAAACACAGCAAGGGTAGACTCTGAGCCAGAGGAATTGGAATGGAAATGTATTAGTAGCGTCTCACTGGATCATTCACCAGAAAGGTGACTTCTAAGGGGACCTTGAAGCTGACAGATGGACTAACGAGTCCCCCCCTCCACTGTGTTCAAAGGGTCATCCTTACATAACACTGGGCCACACAACCCTTGGGAGACAGACAACTGTTGGTTTGTTATCCCTCTAGGAAACTCAGAGGTCATGTCAGGTTCCTAACTTCTCTTAAAGACAAAGCATTTAGATATATACACCACAAAGTCTTGCCTCTAATTTTAACTGAGCATATAATTTACAGTGACTTTTAACATGTTCAACACTAGGTGCCTCATAAAAACTAACATGGAACTCTACAAAATAAAAATGTATTTTTAAAATATGTAAGTAATTTAAAATTGTTGAAGAATAAATATATACATTAAGCAGTATCAAACTATAATGAAATAAAAATGTTTAAGAAATAAAGATCAATCCTGTCTGTCATTCCAACAGACACTTATTAGGGACCTCCTGCCCAAGAATCTATATGACATATCAAGGAGTTATTCTTCCCCTGTTCTACCATAGTTCCTTATTTTTGGTCTTCATCCTTTTCTTCTCTGCCTTTGGTTTTCTACTGGTACCTGTTTCCTTCCAGCCATCACGGGGGCAAAGGGGAGCATAGCTTTCTTCTCACATTACATAGAGAAGTTCAATTGCCTTCCATTCACTTCTAAGTAAATGACCCGTTTGTAATATACCCTACACACTAACTTTAGTCTGTTTTGATATTTACAAAATACACCCAGAATAAAAGACCAGGTTCTGGCATTCTCTTCTGACTTTGGATTGGGGTCCTTTGAGGAAAGAATGCTTTAAATTTTAATGTGGCTATAACTATATTTCGCTTTTGGTTTATATTTTGGGTCTTATAAAATTGTTCCCTAGCTCAATTTTTATAAACAATGTCTTTAATTTTCTTCTAAAATCTAAAAATGTTTTTTTTTCTTTATAAGCTTGAATCCCTCTAGAGTTGATTTTCATAAATGGTGTCAGGAAGGTATGTGTCTAACTTCAGAAGGTATACTTGGGTCCCACAAACATGTGTTACAGGGATGTGTCCTCCTCTTCTCTGTCATATACCAAAAGCCCACAAATGTTTGGACTGACAATACCAACTGTGAGTCATCATAAATAATTTGATACTCAAGTATATGTCTTTATCTTCTACTCTTCTTGGTTCTTTGTTTTCACAAGAAGTAAAGCCATAGCCGGGCAACTCATTCTTACCAATTAACAAAGTATAACTTGCCAGTTATTTTTTCCCTTTATTCCCTGGTGTCTTTCTGAAATATTTTACAATTCTTTAAAGAGTTTTCCCATTTTGTGATCAAATATTTTGGGGTTCTTTTGTTTGTTTGTTTGCTCTAAATGTGTAGAAGTGAATTTAGTTTTTTTATGCTGATTCTATATGTCAACATTGGTAAGCCCTTATTTACTGTAATATGAATTTTCTTTGGGATCTATATAGGTGATCACATAATATGTGATATAATTCATACATTTGTTTTCTTTTTCAATACTTGTATATAACTCAACAGGAAGGCTTTTCTTGAAGTTTTACTATAAAGTTCCAACATTATTATTAAATAAACTTGCCCTCTATTCCTCCTTTGACAGAACTTTTGACTACAAATGAGCACTGAGTTTATCAAATGCTTTCACTGTATCTGTAGACATGGTCATACAAAATTTGTGAGATGTATTATTTTAGGTTTTTATGACTTGTTTTGTGATAAGCCAGGTGTCATAGTGAGAGTCAGTTGTTAACTCGACACATTTAGGAAAAGGGAACCTCAACTGAGGATTTGCCTCTATTGGTCAGCATGTCTGAGGGACATTTTCTTGATTATTAATAGGTGTCTGAGGGCCCAGTCCACTATGGGAAGTACTACCCCTAGGCAGGTGGATCTGGGCTGTCAAAGAAAAGTAGCTGAGCAAAACAGGAGAAGAAAGACAGGATCTCTGTTTTGGCTCCTGCCTTGATGTCCTGTATTAACATCCCTTCATGATCGACTGTAGCCTAGAAGATGAAATAAACTATTTCCTTTCCAAGTTGTTTTTGGTCATGCCATTTATTACAGCAACAGAAAATCTAACTGTAGCATCACATTTGCAGTTCTAGGATAGATATAACTTAATGAGGTTATACTAATATTTTAAAGGTCTATAAAATTTTATGATTTTTAAAATCTATGTTTATGAGAACAAGTCCTTTTATATTTTTTCCAGAACTTTGTGCATGACTACATGCGTTTTTGTATCTACTACTTCCTCCCTCTCCATGTTCCCCAACACAGTCCATTCTCAAATTCATGAACTCCTCCTCTATAATTATTGTACACACACACACACACACACACACCTAGAGAGTTCAAATAGTACTGCCTATAGGTGCTTTGGTTGACCTACCAACGAGCTTGTCTTGGAAGAAAACTGACTTTTTCTTCTTCAGAAGCCAGCAACTCCACATCTCTTCAAATAAGGATAGCACTCTTCACCCATCTGTGCTGGAACGTGGGTTGATGTGATCTCATTCAGGTCTTGTGCAGATACTCACATTGTTGGGTGCTAATGAGTGTTACACCCTTGTCATATCCAGAAGAAACTGTTTCATAGACGTCCTCCAGGCCCTCCAGCCCTTACGATCTTTCCACCTCCCTTCTGATGTTTCCAGAGCTTCAGATGTAGATGTGCCATTTGAGGATGAACACTGAATAGTAACTCATTCTTTGCATGCTTTGGGAAAGTCAGGTTCTTTCATGAGTACTGAGGTCTGGCCCTCATGATTGTACAGTAAGCACTCTTAACTGAGCCTTCTCTCCAGGCCCTGGGCCATCTTTAATTGTATCTTCATTTTGCTCATTATTCCAAGTCTCATTCTTACTTTAGCAAATGCTTCCTACACCGCTATTTTAAATTCAATACCCATTCATTTTACTATTATCAAAGTGTTCTCCTAAATCTTTGGGCTCATAATGTGAAAGCTCAATGACTTGTTCTCTTATATGTACAGTAGATTCCAGTAATGGAATCTTGTTTGAGGTATATCAGCAAACAAAGCAATCCAAGAGAAGCATCCTTATGTCCAGAGAGGTTAAAAACAGTCAGACAAATGTATAAATAGATGTGTTAGAAAAATATGGTAGAGCAGGAAGAGTGTTGTGGGAAAATAAAGTGGGATGTGGGAGGAGTACTCAAGGCTTAAAAGAGAACAACCTAGGTAATCCTATTAAGATGATGGAATCCAAGAAAGCTCTTGATGAAAAATAACTGACATGGATACTTTGAAGAGGTGCATAAAGGGAGATGATGTAGAAAGACTCCAAGCTGAAGCAGCCAGTATCAGAATGTTTTCAAATACCCACAAGGGTGCTAATGCAGGTAGAGAGAGCCTTGACAGTAAAGAGCCAGGAGTGAGACAGAGTCTGCCTCATATAACACCCTGGGGGGTGTATATAGAGGATCCTAGCTCTTACTCCAATAACATAGGGAGTTCCCCTGGAGCGTTTTAAAGAGAAAAATAAAATGACAAGCTATGACCTCTATTGCTCTCCTACTGAAACAAATTCCAGATATGTATTTGTAAACATAAGAAAACAAGTCAGGAAGTGACTGGTAGGATTTGGAAGTGCACTGGGAGAGACTAGACAGAGGATAATGCCAGTGAAGGTGCTGAGAAAGGTTGGAACGAAAATATTTAAAACTTAGATTTAAAAATATGGAGGTTTAAGTGCCCACTATATATCCTAGTCGACACAACTGGATGTGCAAATCTAGAGGAAAAGGATTTGGTTGGGGACAGAAAGGTGAGAGCAGTAAGCACATAGAAGGTACTTAATTTCCCCAGACAGAGCAAGTCCACCAAGGTACTAATGAAACAGTCAGGAATGTGGCTTCCTTGGGGTACAGGAGACTCGGGGAAGGAGAATGGAAAGAAATGGCCACTGAGATATGTGGAGTCCCAGGGTAGGAGTGTGTCCTAGAAATAATTTCAAAGCAGGGAAAGAGTCATCTGGACAAGTGCTGAGAGGTCAGAGATAAAAACTGAAAAGTAGCCATGGGTTTTTCTACTATGGACATTGTCAGTGGCCATGAAAAGATCATAAAAAACAAACAAACAAAAAACCTACCAGTAGAGTGGGCTTACATTAAACACAACAACAACAAACCAACCTAAAGGTAGACATGTTGGTGTACACCTGTAATCCTAAGCACTGGGGAAAGGCAGGATGGTTGAGAGTTCCACACCAGCCTGAGCTACAGAGGAGATTTTTTTTTTTTTTGGTTTTCCAAGACAGGGTTTCTCTGTATTGTTTTGGAGGCTGTCCTGGAACTAGCTCTCTAGACCAGGCTAGCCTCGAACTCACAGAGATCCGCCTGCCTCTGCCTCCCGAGTGCTGGGATTAAAGGCGTGCGCCACCACCGCCTGGCTTGAGGAGATGACTTTTTAAAAAGTCAGAAATTAAGTCAGTGGGAGCAATGCATCAATAAAATTTATGTTTGTCCGTGTCACACTGGAGGAATTTTCTACTTGGTGACTTGGAGGAGAAGGGTATTAGTAGAACAAAGTGTCCCAGCAGATAAGAGAGACAATCTGGTCCATAATTAAGCAAGGTCTCCTCCATACTTGTAGGTAAGTGAAGATCGAGGTGAGAGTCTGAGGATGTTCTCACCTTTCTACCATCTAATTTCACATAAGAGTCTAAAACCACCTTGGATTGGATTTGCCTGTCTTGTTAAAACTTTTGACCTAATCATTGACAGCATTATATCATAAGAATATAGTGGTCTTTGATCTGTTGAGTCTAAGCAGCAATTTGTAACCCACTCTCCAAGGTTCACAAGTAGGCACTGCGGAGCTGGGTTTAAAATCACTTCTTTACCTGAACCCCATATCGTGTGTCCCCATATATTCCCTGGATCCTAGACAGTTTTCCAGGTACCCCTGGAAACTGCTGAGTAGTGGAGAAATAGAAACTCAATAGTGAAATTAGAAGTCCTAAAGGAATTCTAATTTCCAAGTATGTTTTCTTATGTCTCCTACTCACACAGCCTCATGAATGAATCAGTGCTGAGTATGTTACATCACACAACACAAATACTGAGTTTCAAATGTGTTTCCCTCTTTCATTTTGTCCAGATTCTTAATGCCATAGGAGATCAAATTAAAATCAATGTATAGTGTGGATAACAGACCCACCAAAGATGCATTCTCCACAAATGTGTTTTTGGTCAACCATCTTCTATATGAATGTTTTAATAAAAACTATCAATTTTAACTTCTAGCTGCCTTCTGGGGAGTCCTGCATATAATATTGTTAATGCATTGATTTCTCCACAGTGAGCTTTTGCACTTCAACTATTTATTTCCAGGTTAGAAAGCACTTGATTTTTTTTAACTATATGTGTTTATTTGGGGCATGCCACAGCATGCATGTGGAGGTCAGCTGACAACTTGTGGGAGATGACTCTTTCCTTCCATCATGTGGAGCCCAGGGATCCAACTAGGGTCATCAGGATTGATGATGAATTCCTTCATTCACTGAGCCATCTTGCCAGCAAAACACTTGATTATGTTGTTGGATTTTGATGATTTAAAGATATCAGATCTCCTCACTCCAAATATACATACATGCATGTATGTACACAAACATACACATACACACAAACACTTTTAAGTCCTCATTCACTTTGGATTTAATTAAATTGCAAAACACAATGTGATTAGTTTTGACTCTGCGCACATTGTAGTCACATACATTTCAAAGTTTTGTTGTTGGTTCAAGAATATATTGCACACAGAAACACATTAAACACAGAATTGCAAGAGTGTTTTTCCTACAGAAATATGTAAGGACATTTCATCTTTTAAAAGAACCTTTGGCTATAGGGCTTTTTTATTTTAATCATATTGTAGTGAAAAGTTAAATCCTAGTTCCTTTGATGTGCTGGTTTCACAGGGAGGCCCCATTACTAGAGAGAAATGCTTAGTGTTTTCATAACCATATTTCACTTCAAATTTCCTTGGGGGGAAAAATGTTCATTTATTTTTGTTGCAGGTCTGGGCAAAAGGTGATAAAAAGTCTTCCAGGCCAGCACATGCTAAGAACAAAAGGCAGGTCTTGTTACTTCTTTTTTTTCTTTTTTTTAAGTTGGCCCAAACTGAAACCCTCCTTCTCTTTCTTTCCTCCTCTCTCTGCTCCTTCCCTTCTTCCCCTTCCTATCTTTTATCCACTCTCTCTTCCCTGCTGAATTTATACTAATTACCCTAGCTGCCCATCCCAGTACACAATAATGATGATGATGCTGGAAGTGATGATGGTGATGATAATTGGGGGAAATTCACAATTTATTTTTAAAAGCTCGCTTATTTTTATTCTTTCACTTGCAAAGATTTTTTTTAGAGAAAAAAAAAACTCACCCAGCTGTTGGTACTATTCATGTTCTTACAGCCTCCAGACTGTTCCAGGCCACCTGGTTGACTTTTGCCTTGGAGACGGTCCAGAAAAGCATTATTTACCCTTTAAAACAATGAGAAATGTGCATAAGCAGGGATAAGGGATTTTCTGAGGACTGAATGTGATATACAAGCTGCTTCTTCCAGTCAGCTTAGAGGAGATCTACAGAAACCTCTGTCCAGTGACACATGGGGTCTGGTGACAGTCCCTTACTGAGGTTGGTGCAGGTGTGTCTCAAGCCAAAAGAGCATCAATTCTTAACTTGAATTGCCATCATCTTATATAGTGCTCTGGTCACCCAAGGAAGCCAAAGAATAAGGCAGAGACTAGAGATCGAAGAGCCAGGAAGAACCGGGTGCGGGGGGTGGCAGAAAGCTCTGTGTCAGTGCTGCTGCAAGACAGAACGTTTCTCACTCAAGTTCTACCGCACTGTCCTTCACCCCCAAGAGAATTGCAGGAGAGGAAAGTAGAAGAAAATGAGCAGGCTACAAGGAGAGAAAAGAAGTTCTGACTTCAAAAGACAGGCTACCTACACCCTTCTCTGATGTTCTTTCACGCTTACAGCCACCGAGTTCAAAACCTAAATCTGTTTTAATGAGACAATTATTTTCACAAAGGTCAGTATAGAGGTTGCCAGCACAGTGATGGTCTAACAAGTCATCCCTCAGCATTCTGTGGGTACCAAAGGACGTGGATGCTCACGACTCTTCTTTAAAATGACATAGTACTGCCACCATTCTCATATTCTCCTGTATGCTCTAAATGATCTGTGGATTACTTATAATATTTAATACCACATTGGTGCTGTGTGAAGACTAAGAGACTCATTACACTTCATTCTTGAAGGAATAATGCAGGAAAATTGTTACAACACACGCCTATGGATACAGTATTTTTTCTGAGTATCTTCAGTCTGTTCAAGACATGAGTAGTCTCGCAGATATGATGCACTGACTATTTCTATAGATGGCTACCTGAGGGATCGCTTGGCAATCATTACTCTAAATAGTTGTCTTTCAGGCATTTCATCACCATCTTCTAAGTCACCTATGCATGGCTGAGTACAGACGGGAAATCAGAAACTGGATGGTAAGCAATGAGTCACTTAGAAACTTAGAAGATAAGACTAGAAAGTACTTGGGGCAGAAAGAGTGCCTAACATAAGCAGCTATTCAACATGCCTTTGTGGAAGGACGGGAAAAGAGGGAACTGGGCACGTTGGCCTCCTTTTCAGTCATGGAAAGCAGAGTTAGGTCCTGGTGGATGGCCACAAGTCACAACTCTGAGATCGAGGAATTTCCAGGAGAACTGGCTGGTTGGCCCAGTCATATAGGCTTTCTGAGCTCACTTGGTGTCAGCCGAGATGTCAACTGTGTTTGGGCTCATTTTGACCTCCTTGGATTGACAAGCTGTTTCTCTACAAGTGTATTCCCAGTAGGCAGTGGCTGCATCTCAGCTTTCTGTTCTCACCCTAGAAACCTATGCAGATACCACAGCCTGGCTCACTGCCCCCATGTCTGAGTCACCACTCAGCAGGCAGGCTAAGAAAAATCTTACTAAATTACAGCCTTGAATGCTAATGAGTGGAAACTGCCCTGGGAGTAACACAACCAAAGGTATTCTGAAATGTGGACGCACTTGGTGTTCTTTTTATCACGTGTTTTTATCGTGTGTGTGTGTGTGTGTGTGTGTGTGTGTGTGTGTGTGTGTGTGTACCTGAGTATGGAGGCCAGAGGTCAGCACTGAGTGCTAACATGGACTTCTCTATATTACTTTTTAAGGCAGTGTCTCTCACTGAACTTTGAGCTGCTCAATTTGTCTAGACTGGCTGGCCAACATGCCCCAGTGATCCATCTGCCTCTGTCCCCTTCACATCAAATCACTGGGGCCATAGGTAGGTCCATCATTCTACCCTGGTACCAAGGATCCAAACTCAGATGTTCATGATTCCACAGCAAGCACTCTGTGACTGAACCATCAGCAATCCCTTTATCTAGGCTTTTGGTCAGTTATAAGAAGGGGCTTTCCCTCAGTGTCCCCAATGCCCTTCCACTCCATAGAAGTCACTGGATGTCTTAACTGCCTTACTAACCAACACATCCTGAATTCACTCATGCCCATGGCCACCATTCCAGTTCCCATTAGTAGTGCCTCTCTGGGTCACTGTCTCCACCCTACCTGTCATTCATTCTTCCCACAACAACCTCCACCCCAAGTTAGAAAAGCGATCTTGCCTTCACTAATGGTTTGAATAAGGATGGCCCCCATAGGCTCCTATATTTGAATGCTTAGTCACCAGGGAGTGGCACTATTGGAAGGTGTGACCTTGCTGGAGGAAGTGTGTCACTGGGGGTGGGCTTTGAGGTTTAAAAAGCCTGTGCCAAGCCCGGTGTCCCCTCTCTGCCTGTGGATGAGGATGTAGCTCTCTACTACTTCTCCAGCACCATGCCTGTCACATCCGCCGCCATGCTTCTTCTCACAGTGATAACAATGGATGAAACCGCCAAAAACTGTAAGCCAGCTCCCATTGAATGTGTTCTTTTACGAGAACACACCTTCCTTCCACTTAAAAGTCTCCCACGGCTTGCTTCTCACTGGCTTAAGAGTCAGTGTCTTATGCAATCCTATATTTCATCCTTCACACATTCCTGCAGACATCCAAATTCTACACGTCTTCATCCAGTGCAACCCAAACTTTGGGATGCAAAGTCCAACTGCATTCCCACCACAGAGCCTCTGCGCTTGCCGTCTTGCTGGCAACAGGGGCCACTCCAGTAGGAGTCTCTGCTTCTGAGTTCAGCGCGCCTGCTTCTTCCTCATCCTCCGATGCTAGCTCTTCTGTGAGTCGTTTAGTCACCTGTCGCCTCCAGCTGCTCCCTCTCTCCTATCACTCTCATGGTATTCACCACCATATGCAAAATTCTCAGTGTTCAGTTGTCGACTTCTGTTTAGGTCTTCGTGATTTGCATGGGGTCAGTGACTTCTTTTTTTTTTTTTTTTTTTTTTTTTTGCTTGTTCGCCCCATTGCCTAGAACAGAGCCTTGGCTGAGCATGTTCCGATAACATACTTATTGAGTGAATGAGGCTTCTAGTCACATGCTCCCTGCCTCCTCTGCTGTGGATGAAAAGCCCACTGGGGTGGAGTCCAAAATACACATGACTCAGTGCCAACTGCTCTGACTGGGTTTGCAAAAAGCAAAATGACAAGTTCACTCACAAGCTTGACTATGAAGAGGAAGAGAGACTGAGCTCTCCATGCTGCTTTAGGAAGGTCCTCACCTGGCCTGCCCACTGCAATGGGTCAACCAGAGACAAAGGCAGTGCACAGTTTATTTCTCTCTATCAGCAATAAGAAACCAAACAAGGAGGAAAGGGCCCTGTTGCATTTTAGTTGGCTAGCTTGAGACTATACATTCCATTGCTGTCAAAATTTGTGCTGTAAGTTTGTTCCACCCCCACCCCCCAGGATTAATTTGGATTAAGAGCTATTACTCAGAGATGGTTTGAGTTTTCATTCCATCATTCAGCTCACAGTTCAGATCCACTCGAGCCTTTGAACTGGTGCTCTGTCTGCTCTCTATGGGGTTCTTAGGTGCTACTCTTGCTCAAGTGGTTATGCAGGGTGAAGGTCAGGTGCACTTCCAGGTGTACACTCATTGCAAGGCTCATTGAAAAGCTCACACGGAGTCCCACAAGCTTTCTATCACCAATGCAGGGTTGAGTGCTCTTCCATGTCAACTTCTAGACAGGAGAAAGCTTGTTGCCTTTTGAATGCTAATGAAATCATGCCCCCCCACCTAACTTATATGTCCTACATACATACCACATAGCTTGTGTTGTTGCCCTCAGAAGAGGCACCACTCTTATTGAATATGTATCTCATGATACCATGGGAATGCACTCCATAAACTTTAAAGGCAGTACAAATGCAAGCTCTTTTCAAAAATTGATCAAGAATATAAAGTATGTGTCTGGAGGCTTGATTATTTGTTTCAAACTTGATCACTGAGTATATTATCCACAGAGATTTCCTGGTGGGTTTAATTTGGCTCTATGTGTCACCAGAATCAATAAGAGAGGAAATAGGAACAAAAAATAAACAGTCCCGCCAATATTTATGTATTTGGTAGTATGGATAATAAATTTAAAGAATTATGGCCAAGATTCCTGTAACAAAAATGCAGCCCTTTCTGTCTCTAACAAATAGCATGTACCTTTATTTGGTACCCATCAAAGGTCAACTTATTAGCAATGGGGACTATTAATGTGACACATTGCTATCTTTAAGATGCTTAAGACTTTTTTATCTACTTAATCCAAAGGAATAATTGGCTACTGTTAGCAACCACTGTATATACAAAAACAATATCAGTATTTTTCTCACCAAAAGTCTTCTAAAGAAAATTAACATAATCAATAAAAATTCTAGATAATTTATGACCTACTTTATAGACAATAATAAAGGTCACTTCCTCACCTCAGTTTACCTAACACAGAGATTTAGCCAGGTTTCTCAAGGTTTCAATGTTTCTCTAAATCAGAGTAAAACATCTAAATTCACATTTAATGTTTTAAAAGCACTTTGTGGAAACTGTAGAAACAGCATAGTCTATTCAAAGGTACGTCATCACCTGCCAGCGATTAGAGTCATCCTCAGAACTAGCGCATTCACTAGGCATCTTCCAAAGTTTCACATCTACAAAACGAAACCATTACAACTCCAAAATACACTTCAGTGCAGCTGGAGAGATGACACAGCAGTCAAGAGCCCTGGTTGCTCTTCCAGAGGACCCAGGTTCCAGTCTTAGCACCCATATGGTGGTTCATAAGCATCTGTAGCTCCAGTCAGTCTCAGGGAATTTGATGGCCTCCTTCTGGCCTCTACGGACACCAAGCATGTACATGGTGCACAGACATACATGGAAGCAAAATATCTTTACTCATAAAAATAAATAAAATTAAAAAACATATTTAATGATGGGGGAGGTTAAATACATACGAGAAGCCATCTGCTTGCAAAAAGAATATGCTTCCTTACAACATGAAAGCCTTGCACTAAATTCTTCTAAGGTACTCCACCCAGCTGCTGCCCAGGAAGAACCTGTCATTACAGAGACAATCAGTATAATGTAATTAGCAATTTATGTTGAGTCTTACTGGGTATTCTCAAAACACTTACATCTGATACCAGGGAGTTTGCTGTGAGATTGTGTAGGCTACTAATGTCCGAAGCTACACCCATGAAGTCTTGCAAACATGACTGCACAAACATGAGCTGAATAAAGATATACTAATAGGCAGGCCAAAGTGAATGGGGGAAAGCCCAAGAGGCCTCAACTCTATGCAAAGAACTACAGGTAGTCAAGGAATGCTAAGAGTAGGAGAACTAATCTTTCCCAGGGAAGAGCATGCCGGATGATTATCCAATACCCAGTGGTCAGCCCTGAAAACACACATATAATACAAGTAGCATTATACAGACCGAGCATGTTATATGTGTATATACATATACTTACATACATATAAATACATATAATAACAATTAATGAAAAAAGAGGGCAGGAATTTGAAAGAGACCAAGGAGGAGTATATCAGAGAGTTTGGAGGGAGGAAAGTGAAGGGAAAAATACTGTAATTATTTTGTAATCTAGAAAATAAATAGTTCTTAATCTATTAAAAATTATTGCTTCTATCTTAAGTTCTCCCACACCCTAATGTATTAGTCAACATAATAATTCTAATGAGTTTTTCCTCAAGTGTTTGTTCCCGAGCACTAGGGTCAAACCATCTATATCATCCAATATCTCCGAAGTCATTTACAAATGTAATGTGCAGTCTCAGAGGGATGTATATGTTCTGTCCCATGAGCAAGGAGAAAATAACACCCTAAATAAACAGAAAGTGTAGTTCATCCTTCTTTTAAGCCAATGCATGCATGCTCACATGAGTACAGGTGTCCAAGGAAGTCAGGGAGGGTATCAGATTCCCTGGGATGGCAGGTGTTACTCCTGGGACAGGTGTTTTAGGCACTTGTGAGTAGCTAAATGTGGGTGGTGAGAATCCAACTCAGGTCCTTTGTAATAGCAATAAGTGCTCTTAACCACTAAGTTATCTTCTACAACCCTGTGATTCCGCCTTCTTACTTACTTAACCCAAGAAGTGTTGATATTCTGTATGCATGTATATATTATTATACAAGTGAATATATACATAGGTATATAGCAGTTGACATATCACACACTGTAACAGATGTGGAGGTGATTTGGATTCCAGAACATTATTTAATGCTGCTCTAATGTTTTCCCAGAATGCTGCAAAACTTTATAAGTAATTGATTTTACCAAGCATGCTTATTTTATTGGCCAGTTATACCTCCAGTGCTCAGCTTGATGGATTCGGGCTCTTTCTTCCTCTTGGTGCTGTCCTTTGGTTTCCAGTAATTTATTCTAGGAACAATAAAAGTTTTAAGATATGGTTTTCAATTAACACTGTTGTACAGAAGGCACCCAAATCAATTACACATTTAACCTTAGCTGATGCAACATTTCACTTCTGAAACTTCTACTTAAATCTATTTGGACGTGAAATTATTTTCCCTCTATAAGTAGGTAGCAAAAATAATTGCAGCCTAGTCTAACAGCTCCATGAGTGTAAAATTGTCAGATTAAAAAGCCAATGTACATGGTTGAGAAATTAGACCAAGATGCACAAAACACAGAGAAGAAAATCCAATGTGACTCAAACTCATCTGTGTCTTACAAAGAAAAACAAATCAAATTATTTCCTCTAAAAATAGCATACAATACTATTTCTTAGTATTTTTGTAATATTTCTTTCCTAGTAAAAATACATTGCAACTTAAAAGTAAATTTTGGACTCAATGCTGCCGCGTGATTCTGTTGGTAAAGCATTCTTGTTCTCAGAGAATAAGTTCTGCCCTAATAATGAACAGTTATATATGCTTTTTAATAGTTATTTCTTCTGCTACCAGAACTTGAACGAAAGAGATTTTTCTGCTAGAAATTATAGTATCATTTCCTGACAAACACATACCAATGAATGGCCATGCCCATGGCTGGTGTTTTAGAACCCCCACGTTTCCTGGTGAAACGTCTAAAATAAACTAAAAATCCATACTGACTTTTCCTTTTAAACTTCATTCAAATGTCATCACCAAAGAAAAGCACTTATTTCTTATACATTATACTCTAAACTTATTGCCTATCAGTCTATAAAGCCCATTAGACTATTCTCATTCTTACATTGCACTAACAAGGGAAATTGAAGAGTTTTCAAAATAATGACATACTCTACACCCATTCAACACTTCCCCAGAACCTAGATGCCAAGCTTCATGCTGGAGCTCTCTCTTTCCTACAATGATACACAGTCATCTATTCCTTTTAATCTTTTAGTCACATCCACCACCACCACCCCTCCCCAGAACCAAACTCAGGCCCACAGATATGCTATGTGAATGCTCTACACCCAAACACTATCCTACACCTTGTTCTTTTTTTAGCTTAATATATACAGTTTTAACACACTGTCAAATGGCCAGACATGGTGGCACACGTCTGTGATCTCAGCACTTGACAGGCTGAGTCCCAAAGACTAAGTTTGAGGCTAACCTTGGCTACCTCTTAAGACCCTGTTTCAAAAAAATAAGTCAAAGTATCAGAACCACATGCTAGTACTTCCCAGGTTTATAGAAAACCAAACCAATTGTTGCCCCTCCTTTGTCTTCATACCCTTTTTAACTCCTCTTGTGAGCATGCTGAGCTGTCTAAATTATCTCCACAACAAGCATTCCTACTCTACTTATTATTTTGGTTATATTAACTTTATTTCCTACTGTGGAATGAGATTTATGTCTTTATTACTATCTCCATGCCAATCCTAATCTCCCTCCTTATTTATCATACTGTCATTCTTAAACTCTTCTCTCAACATTCAGTGTGGTGACAGAGAGGACCCAGGGTTCTTGTAGCTCCTCACTAAGCTTTCCAAAATTTTCATTAAGAACTTACTACATCACTTCCCTCTTCCCTTTACTCATTCCAACCTCCACTACCATGTCCTTCCTTCCAGCATCTCCTATGCCTCCCTTCTCAAATCCCTCGACTGTCATCGTTCTATACATTTATCTAAATGTCTAAATACAACCTGATAAATCTATCTAGTGTCACTTGTGTGTGTGGTCTCAGGGCTGACCACTTTGCATTGTATGACTAACTAATTATTTTTTAGCTCTAACCTTTGCGGGTTCCCCATGCCTCCACATCATGCACCTCAGTCAGTCTGTGTCTTCCTGCTCCTTGAATATGAGTTCTGCCTTTTCTCTTTTACTCAGTCAATTATCACTTGCCAGCTACAAAATTTTTGCTAAAGGGGAGGGCGGTGGAGGAGGGGAAGGAGAGAGAGCCAGGATTGACATGTGAAACAAGATTGTTTCTAACCTAAATTTAAAAAACAATAATAATAAAAAACTGGAAAAAAAGAAACTAAAGTAATATTAAAAAATTTTTTTACTAAAGATCTAGAAGTGCAATTCTATGTAGGGCATTTGCCTGAGATTCTGGGTTGAATCTCACAAACAAACAAACAAATAAAACATCGTGTTTTTTTCCCTTTTGCTGTAGACCCCTTATCTATTCTTTTGTTATTGGAAACTTGTATCTGTTTCTGTGGGAAATAAGAAAGTAACCAGATATAAAGGAAACTGTTTTGGAATTCATTAGGGGGAAAAAAAATCCAAGAATGTAATCAAGTCTGGCAAGAGACCCACTGCCTATGGAAATGTGGTTCTGGTAGATTTGGACTGAGTCTGCCTATCTAGGAGACAGTTGAGTGAGGTTGATAGACTGAGAAACTACTAACAGAAAAATCAAAACTAGATACTTCATTTAATAAATACACATACATTTTATAGAGTCTAATGCTTGAAGCTAAAAGATGAAATGGCAAACATTTTCAAAGGAAGGATAGGTAAATTTATAAACATAGCAAAGAAAGTCATACAAAGAGAAAATTGATAAATTCAGCTGACTAAAAATCTATAGCTCCCATTTTGATAAAATGCCACAAACGAGCTTTAAATAAGTAAAATATCAACAAGTAAACATTTATGACACACATGAGTTAATTTGACATGTTCCGTTCATTCATTCATTGAACAAAATGTCTGAGTGTCTTGTGGTGAGCCCGGCTCAGATAGATGTGACAGCAGCACACAGGACAGATGAGACCCTTGCCCCATTATAGTTCCTATTCTAGAGGAAGGAAATCTGTCACCAAGTAGAAAAATATCCAGCCCTGATTCTACACAGAGAATATTAAAGTTGACATGAGACACAGCGACTTGGTGACTGTTTTAGGCTGAGGCCCGAGAAAGCACTGAAGACCTGAATCAACCAGCAAGGAAGAGGGACAACCACAGAGAGAAGGCTGGAGACTAAAAATAAATAGGTGGTCCACAGAAAAACCAGATTATCTGTCAGTTCAACGCTCTTCTCATCTTCATCCAGAGAAATAGGAATCACAACACTGAGACAAATGTTTCTATCATTGACAAAATCAGAAAAGTCTGATAATCAGGGACACCCAAACACTGTAGTGGTCCAAACTTCGGTTTCTGAAGCACAATATAGCAATAATCACCAAGAAATAAAATGTGCCACATCCTCTGAGAAGTGTTTGACCACAAGTAGAACGTGGATACAGTGCTTACAGCTGTATCCAAAGTTGTGAATGTTAAGGAAGAAATCTTAATGTCTATCAAAACGATTAATAAATAAGTTGGTCATCCACATAATGGAATTGTATGAAACAATTACAGAGAACAGGTTATAGCTGGAAGGTGGGACTGTAAGTTTCATTGATAAAAAGCCACAGCAGGGACTAACCCTTACCACAGAAATATGAGGACTGGAGTTCAGATCCCCAGCACTCACATAAGAGCTGGGTCAGCATGGTGGCCCACCTGTAATCCCTGTGTCAGATAGCCCATAGTTCCCTGTGCACTGGTTGCTCCTGAGTTCAGTAAGAGACATTACCTCAGGTAAGTAAAGTATGGCATGATCATGAAAGACACTCAACATCAACCTCTGGCTTCCACATGGACACACACACACACACTCACACCTGGATATATATATATATATATATATATACATATATATATGTATGTATGTATGTATATATATGAGACTATATGCACACATAGGCACATGTCCTACACATCATATGTACATACATATACAAAATACAAAAATTAAAAGTAAAATAAAAGCCTAGAGCAGCATTCCTAGTATCCTTACATATAAATAGAGTCTATATACAAATAACCATTTCAACTTTTTTAGATTTTTACATTTCATTTGCATGAGCATTTTGCATGCGTGCATATATCTGTACCATGTGGTGTTGGAGTCCCTGGAACTGGAGCTACAGACAGTTGTGAGCCATCTTGTGGGTGGTGGGAACTGAACCCACACCCTCTATGAGAACAACAAGTGCTCTAAACCACTGAGCCATCTCCCCAGGGCCCCCCATCTCGACTTTTATATGCTTGCATATGTCATATTAAAGTATTTTGTGCAACAATGGAAGAACATGTCCATTGGCATTGGTAGAGGACTTGGAGGGTAGATGGATAGAGGGAGAAAGCTTTTGGTGTTATAATCTTTATATGTACATATTACTCCCTTATCCCATTTATGGGGATTTACAACTTGTGTAAAAGGCCACTTCTGATTTCTCAAGCTTTTCCTTGTTTAAAGATGCAATTCTACTTTAGTTAAAAACATACTAAAACAAGCAAATAAATAAAGATTCTAATAGGTACAGTTCTTAATATTTAGAGATAGCAAAACAGGAAGTTAGTATATTAGAAGTTAAGAACAGCTAGATGAAAGGCGGTGATTGATGCATGCCATCCTCTTGCAGAGGCAAAGAGTGGGGAGGGGGGAGGAGATAGAGACCCGGTGGGAAGCGTGAACAGGAAGCTGATGAGGCATTGCCATGTGAGAACATTGTTCCAGATGGTAGAGGGGAGGGGCTGGCGCCACTGCGTTTAGGATTATTTTCTGATCATCAGCACAGTGTATTCCAAAGAGAGACCCATTTTTCTTCGGTACCAAGAAAGATAATTTCAACTAATTAATTTGTTCTGCTGAACTGACAGCCGCCGAGGATGTCTGCCTGCCTGCCTCATAAGCATATTTGCGCTTCATTTCCTTGGGTTCTCATAGGGAAGGGCAGCATCGAAATTGAAAAAGTACGAGGTAAGTTGTTCTGGTTCTAGGAACTGAGACCGCAACACGAAGAAAAACAAAATGTTGTGCTACACAACACAACACCACCTCCACCCTTATCGCATCCATTGCATGCGTGTTAAGTACGAGCCACTTCCCAGGCACCTGGATTTGTGCAGATACAAGTGCGA